GGCACGGCGGCTCTCGGGGCGGAAACTTTCGGCTCCGCGTAGCCTGCGGCGCACGTGCCGTTCGGTGTTCTTTTTGTCATTCTCGGAAGCGCACACGCACAAACACACACACACGCAGCCGATTAACTACAGTGATGGGTACGGCGAGAAGTTGGCGGCTGGCACCCACGGCCGCAGCCGGCCAGCTCGCTTGGCGAGGCGATCGCCGAGGGAGCGGGCGCGGAGGCACGGGGTGACGAGGGGCTGGCCGCTTCCCTGAGATACTCCCCTGTAGGGGGTTTCTCTCCATCACTAATTATAGTTCGGTGACGTGAGCTGTTTCATGTGCCCTCACTCGCTACTCGCTGAGGGGAAAAAGGATGTGGTTCTCAGAAACAATACGACTTCAAAACAGAAGCAAGAAAAAAAAAAGTTTCGCTGCTTGCTCGACACGCCATATCGTGATAACACAACGTGGAAGGCCGTGAAGGTAGAAGCTGGAAAAGCAACGCGACGACACACGTGGACGTGAATTTCAGGGAATTGTCGAATCTCTTTAACGAACTAGGGGTTCTCGCTGTGACCCTTCACCGGGTCTACTGCCAAATGTTACTGTGTGGGAAAAAAAAATCCTATAAAAACTCTGAACAATCCAATATTCTGTGCAGGTAACGTTTGCCATACGGTTTCTAAGAACACCAGAACCGGGAGACAAGACACACAGCGTTTAGAACCCACCGTTATCAATCTTTTTGCTATGAGTTTTCTGATTTGTGCGCATATATTTATATAGATTTATGATTATGTAAATCAATGTAAATTTAAAAATGACTGAAGAAAAATTAACCTGACAGCGTGTAAATCCGAAGAGAAATGGCTTTTTTCGGTTGGCTCTATGTTATTCGCAAGTACGATTGGTTATAACATTTCACAATCATCCAACTTCAGTAACAGCATAGTTCAACAGAGGGTAGACAACCAGGACAAGACACACCTATACATTGTGTTGCGCACACGCGGAAAGGAGGGAAAAATAAGAAATACCAGTAATGTTTGCCATTTTATGGCTAACAGTAGGAAACGACATCACCGAGTGCAAACGCTCACAGACGGAACATGCGAACTCCACACAGACGCCGGCTCAAGATGGACTCTAACCTATGGCTTTAAAGTAGTGACTGAACATAACCAGACTGTAGTAAAATGTCGTAGTCGCCATTTATTATTGTTCATTTATGATATTATATATATATATTTTGATCTATTATTAGATGTTTTTTGTCATTCAAATATCGTTTTCGCCCTGTTTGTACACCGATTGTGTGGGCGATGGACATTTCAGGGTACCCATATTTAAAGTTATTACAAGAGGCATCCCCTGATAGAAGGGTCAATCCTTGAAAAGCGAACAGTTCAATGTAAATGTGATCGTTTACATTAAGGAGAAGTTTACCCTTAAACTATATTCACCCACCCCTTGTTAATACCTGCTGGCTTACTTTAAACTTGTGCTTTCCCCGTCTGGTGTACTACTGACTGTTAACGTGTGAGCTCTTCAATGAAAAATCGAGAAACCCGTTTTGTCCCAATAAATGCATGCGAAACAAAGAAGAATGTCCTTACCACACAGGTATTTCAGCTTTTTTTTTGTTGTTGTTGTTTACGGTCCAGCTTCGCGCGCTAAACGCGGTGCACAGTGGTCTGACCCCCGGGTCAACTCCCGGCGGGGGGGGGCTGTCAGTCAGACTACAGGCAATCCTATTACAACAGGAGTGTGTGTGCGCAATTATCCTATACTATATATGTACTATACTATATATGTACTATACTATGCTATACAGCGCAGGAGATACTGGTCTTTCACAGCTTGCTGGTAGGTAAAAAACAAAAACAAAAACAAAAACAAAACAACCAACCGCATCGCAAAAACGATTTAGAGAATAGCTTCTTCAGACCTGTCTTATTTTTGTTCATGGATATGCAAACTCGGACGACCAAAAACAGACTTGGCAGCCTCAGCGCTGAGTACAGCATTTTCAGTACTTGCCCGTGACAGAATCGAGCCGTTGGGGATTTGAATGAAAGGTGGGTGAGGGCTTACAGCGATCTGTTTCGGAGAAGCAGGCGCGTCCCCGCGGGTTTTCGGGAAGTCGCCGTGACTCTTAAAAATGGGAAATCCTCGCTTATTTTGTGTGCCCTGCACAAGTACCGGTGGAGTTTGAATCTCCCACAGGCTTAGCGAAGTGTGGTGCTTCTCCAAACTGGGAAGCAACAGCCTGATTTCTGCACGACATTTTCAGCTGTTCCGGCGCTCTCTCTAAGGCGAATTGGCTGTTTTCTACAATACTTTAAAGTTGAACCTGTTTCCCTCATATCTCTTTTCCACGTCGATTTCTTCTAACGCGTTGGCTCTTGTAGCATGCAAGTGAACGAGTAAGCCAAGCTGCTGGTCCAATTTTTAATTCGCAGGAGAAAACCAAATTGTTTGTTCAACAGCTGGTCACTCTGTTCTGAAGGGATCGCTGTGTGATGTTGTCCATTGTGGTCTATGAGCAGCACACGCTAGCAGTGCTCAAACTTTGTATGAGAGACAAATGATGACCCCCCTTAAGCTCCCAGGGATTCAAAATATTCTTCTTGTTTAGGACTAAGTTAAAAAAAAAAACACGAACCATTTAAATGGCCACTTTTTTGGCTTGTTTTACATTGTGTACAGTCTTGCCGGACTGAAGCGAACGATGTCAAATTAGTAGCATAGAACCATTCTCCATTCTTTTCAATGCAGATCAGCTGATTGATTGTGTCGGGTATGAAGTGAATCACAGAGGGGATTTATAAGTTTATAGTGTGGTTTAACTGACTGAAATATGACATTTTATGGACTTTATATTTTTGGATCCCTTTGGACCAAGGTCTTCTGTCCTAGCTTCAAGAAGGACATCCCCAACCCCTAAACACACACAATTACTGATTAATTAAAGAAGATGATAGAACCTCTGACATTAATGGACAAACAGGTGACATCGGAGCCCTTGGAAACTCAGCAGCTGCAATGGGCATCTGTACCTCATGATCCTCATGAGACAAGGTTACTGTGGTTGGCTCGTGTCAGAAGACAAGTACTAAATGAGAGGAGGCCATGTGGCCCATTTAGCTTTTTCAGTGCTTAGTCGTTAATGTATCCAAGGATCTCAAAGATCCAGCTGTTACTTCAAAGAAACTACACTATCAGCTTCAACATTATGGCTGAGTAGCTTGTTCCATGCTCCTGCAACTCTTTGAGTAAAGAAGGGCCACCCATTCTTGGTTTTAAGTTCTACATAGTTTGTGTTCATTCTGAATAAACCTGCTGGGTTGGGGTTGTCCGTGTCTCTGAAGATTTTGAACACTTGTGTCAAGTTCTCTCGTAGTCATCTCTGTTCACGACTAAAAGGGTTCAGTTCCTTCAGCCTGTCAGTCTAAGACGTTCATTCCCTTAAGTCCTGGGAAGTATGTGGTTGCTTTTCTTTATTTTTGCCATTTGCACGGATAACGACACAAAGGTTTGATTGTGATCTTTAAATTGGCGGATCTTTTAAAAAATACAGAGGAGGTAGCATCAGAGGCAGACAACTCTCGTGCAAGTGTTTTGGCAGTTGTTCAGAACACTGGCTGGCTGGATATATCCAAATTCTCCTCAAGATAGGTGGCATTAAAAGCCTTTCCATTCTCCGGGTCCTCACCATCAGAGGGATGTAGAAATGTTCTGTGAGAAGCCAGTCGTCTTTTGTGCCTGTGTGACAACAGGGAGACATGGATGATTTGCTGTCCTGGAGTGACTAGAACGAAAGTCAAGGAGGCACCACAGAAGCACCCACAGGACAAGATCAATGCGTCCTCGTTCTGGGGGTTCAGTCGGTGTGATGGAGGGTGGAGGCGGGTCACGAAGCAGGAAGGGTGTGTTGCTGCCGCAGGCCCGTGTCTGCTGCCTCGCGCAGGCCTCTGCGTTTGCCCTGGGCTGCTGCTGGGGGGAGACCCCGAGAGACCGAACCCCAGCCTGGCCCTGCGGAGAAAGACCTGCGGGTGACGACAGCCCGCTGATATCTTCTGTGGCCGAGCGGAAAAGAAGCATTCACTGGCCAAAACAGTCCGAGGAGGGACGCGCCGAACTTAAATAGATTTCTATTGAAAAGCCGCATACAGGCCTTGTACATCAAACCCTTTTAACTACGTTCTTCTATAACACATTGACCCACCTTCCACTACTGCAGAGCAGGTTGCCTACACTGGTAGTCCGTTCGGTCCAGCTTTGAGCCACAAGCAGATTTTGAATGCACTATGTTCTGTAGAACCGGTCTGCAATGTAGTTTTTTTTTAAAAAAACCCCAACATTTCTCGTATTTTTAACATTTTTTTTCACTAAAAAAATTATTGTCCATATCTGAACGCAGAGAATCATATATTTAACACGGGGGTGTCACAAAATCAAGTAAAAAAGTAAAAATAAAAGACCCAATGGATTTTGGTAATGACCGAATTTTTTTTATTTATCTGTATGTAATGTTTGACTACTTAAAAAAAAAACAACTTAGAAACATATTATAGCCCAAACTGTATTTCCTTTGAAATAAAATGCAGGGAGCTTGTGCAGACATTAAATAGGCAAAAGACTTTAAGCAAAGGTAAGTAAAGAATGAATAAAGTCCGCTCCACGCGGCGCTTGCGCTCGGCCAGAGCCAGGACCACAGCAGAATCGCTAGCAGTGGGACGATTCAGGAAGGTTTAAGCGTGTCGCATAACATGATTTCACCCGATATTCGATGACAAATTCACCTAAAGACCTTCGCCGCCGCGCAACATTCAGTCCCTCTGATTTCACTGCTGTATCAAAAAAAAAAATTGCCGCGGAAGGTTTAGCGGGGAGAAAGTTTTAGAAACGAAGCATACGTCGTCACCTCCCCCCCCGCCTCTCTCACTTGGCTTTAAATTAATCTGTGACGAGGGGGAAACAAAAGCCAGGAATAATGAAAGCGAAGCAGCAGCCTTGCGTCTTGTAATAAGCAAGCACACGGCGCAGTCAGGGGAATGAACGCGAGTAGACTCCCTGGTTTTGTTTTACACGGCCGTCGAGCGAAGTAAGTTTGCTGGAGGTTTATGGTAATTGCGGTTCCCCGACTGGCCTTCTGGGTAGAGTCTGTGAGTGGGAGCGAGGAGCTCTCAGCGCTCAGTCTCCGCTGCACGCACGGAGAGAGCAGCAGCTGGTGTCTGGTGCTGCAGAGCCAGAAAAGGGAACTGTTGAGAGCGAGCGAGCGAGAGAGGAGAGAAAAGCAAGGACGAAACATTTTTTTTTAAAAGAAAAGAACCCTAAAGAAGAGTCGAGAAGAGAAGAGGTGTGAAATGAACACAGCTTCCGAAAAAAGAGGGATGTCGTGTAAGAGGAGAGGGTAACTACTACGCTCCGAAGCGGCGTGTTCAGCGAGTGCGGTAGACCCAACATGGCGTTGTGAGGCATCAGTGGGCTGTATTAATTGCCAGAGTCCGCGGACCGTCGCCACCTGTACCCGGGTGTAATACGCGAAAATCCCAAGTTCGCTTTCGTTCCGAGGAATACCCGCGCCTTTAACGTTTGGATCTTAAAAATTAATCGCTGTAAATACTGAGGATGTATGTATATTCCTTGAATTTTGTGCAGTTTTCTTCCAACTGGAAATCTACCGTGACTCTCTGGATCACTACAAAAAAAAGTATTCTGAAAAGCCTGACCGAGAGCGCAAGAGAGGGGAAAATTTAAAGCACCTTGGGAGCCTTAATTCCTTCTGTTCCCCGACACCGGAGATCGGTCGATTGCGATCAAACTACAGCAACAGCTTTTCTGAAGGGCAGCCCGTCTCGTTTCCTTCTGCAAGACGCTGGGCTGAATGAGTTTGAGTTTTTGACTTGGATGTTTGCGCTACTGTGAAACTAAGCTAGTGGATCGTGTCTCCTTTGAATTTTCGAAGCCTAAAAGTTACGAGGGGGAAAAAAAACAACAACAACAACAACTTAAAAACCAAGACGGGATCGGATTCTGTACGGAATTCAGTCTCTCGGTTATCACGCAGGTAAGACGATGTGTTTTAGCATTAAGCGGCTTGGGCTGTAGACATGTTTCTGTCCTGGTTCGTTTTATTTTTGCCACTTTGCTGGGCGAAATCAGATGTTTGCATGTACAGTGACCTACGCAGCAGAACGCATTAAAAACCCCGTGAACAACGGCCAAGAGGAAAACTGGCGGATTTTCTCAGACGTAGCGGGATTCCTGGTCATATCGGATTTGTTAAGTGTTGGAAGTCGTGGAGAATTCGCTTCGGCAGTAGGTCTGAGTAAAATTTATGTTTAGCGTCTGGTGGAGTCCGATTTAACACGTTTATATTGCTTGTTATCGCGCGGAACAGAACAACAAAAAGCGATAGCGAGACGGGTGGTCTTGGGATGTTTCGCCAGGGTAATTGCGGACGGTTGATGAATTACTCCGGCTGGATTTTAATCATTTCGCCCCTGAACGGGTGCAAACCTTAATGTCAATAATGAATCATTTGTTAGCGTCGTGACAGGGGCTTCCCGGCTGCCGAACCGATTTTTTTTTTACAGTCCTGGTAGCGCATAGGGACAGTAGCCCGGAGAGAGGAGAAAACGAAATGTCCGACTCGAAAGTTGACACGGAGCTGTAATGAAACGCCGAGAGAACCTCACGCGGCTTTTCCTCTGCCCCAGAACTTGGGAACGATCCGCCCCTCCGGCCCGTTTCGCCCCGGTCACATCTAAGTTACGTTTTGCCCCGAGATGAAGCCGCCGGCGTTACAGAAAAAGAGCCTCGCCCAGGTTTATGGTAGCCTAGTTCATAAATAATCGTGCGGCTCGACGCAGTCGGAGGGCATCCCCGCGGTGTCGGTCTGCGTGCGTGTGCGGTGAGGAGACGTGTCTCGGGGGGTGAAGAGAGGTGCTCGTTACGAGCCGGAGAGACAGGATAGAGACTGCGGCAGAGACTGAAACCTTCTGGAGAGCTATATATGTTGTGTTCTCGCTCACACCCCTCCCCTCCGCGCGCTTATAGACCGCAGATAGGCTCGTGCAGGTGTGAACCAGACTGCTACAAATTACTTTCTGACGCGTCTGATCTGATTTAACTCGCCGTGCTTCGCGGATAGATTAACAGTCTTAAAATGTTCCCGACCCCTCCACCCCCCCCCCCTTCTTTTTTTTTACAGTTCACGGAAATGGAAAACGGGCATGCAACACCGCCCAAGATTAACTCGTGTTTTCGATCGAGTTTTTTTTTGTTTGCATGTTAAGCCTCATTGAGAAGAACCCCTTGTGCTCTGTCCGTATTGGGTTTATTTTATACAGATATTACTTTTTATCACCGATTGCGTTTTAGGCGGTTTTCACTCTTTTCCAGGGTCAGCGACCGAGCGTTAATTAGGAAGTACTCTCCGGATCAATGCGTTTTCCAGCTCATTAGTTATCCAGCACCTTCAATGGGATTGAAGGGTCTCTGTTTACCTTTAGCAAGCCAGCTCGCGGACAAAGAGCTTTCTCACGTTCGGGCTTCCAGCGATCAATTGAAATATAAAACGGTGCTGTGTCGTTTGTTGGCGTTTTAGCGGAGCCTGCATGAAGTAATGGGGTAGATTAACATATGAAACTCTGGAGTGTTTTAAGACGTAGAAGGTGCTGTTAAAATAGTATTTAGTGTGTGAATGTATATGCCCAGGTGTCCGTGAACACTGAAGAGCTGCAAGTGTTAGACTGATTTGGGATTTTTTTTCGGATGGATTCAACTGCGTTTTCGCCGGGCTTCTGAACGATAATAAAAGACAGCTATTTGTCATGCATTTTTAGTCTGTGTTATGATCGATTGGTCTAGACAAGCGCTTGGGATCTCGGAGCCGAAGCGACACAAACTTGTGTGTGTGTGTGCGCGGGGGAACACACTAGACTGGCTGCGAAAACAAGAAATCGCGTGAAGATCAAAGTGAAAGACTTCACAGGTCGCTGAAGGAGAGAATGAGTTAGGAAAGTTTAAAAATGACTGTCGCTGTAGCCGGTTTGCCCGATCTCTGTTCGTCTCGGAGGCCGCGAATCGAAAAGGGGGGAACTTTCAAAAGAAAGATAGTTTTGTCGTCTCGAGGCTTCGCTAGCTTTGCGTGACCTCAGCCTTAACGGCAAATACGGTTCTCCTTCTGTGTCTGAAATCAGACGTCCGGCTGTATAGAGTTCTGTGTAATCCATCTTAATTATGTTAATTAATTATAACTTGGTATTCACCTCGGGCTGTGTTCCGCGCCGCGCTTCGTGGGTCGTAGCCTAGTGAATAGCACACGACAGGAAGCACTCGGACGGGATGGAAGACAACGGCGATTAATTCCTATTACTTGTTTAAAAACTATACATAACATGTGCTCGCGTTGAAATCGTCTACGCGGTAAGAATTCAGGGGAATCGGCTAAACGGTTTCGTGCGCGACCTGAACGCGCGGCCCGCTTCAAGAGACGCATATATTTGTGTCGCCTCCTTCAAAATCGTGAAAAGACGTCTGAAACCAGAGCTGTTTTCTAGAAGCCCCCGACCGCTCAGCTGGCCCCGAATCCCCCGCTCGTGCCAGGGGGGGATTTACTTTTAGTACCATCTCTGGTCTGTCTCGAAATAAATCCGAACAGACGGCGCGCACGGCTTTGTTCTGAGCACGTAGGACCACAGCCCGTGCGATCGCGCTCAAAGGATCCGCTCCACAGTGCGCGGTGTCCGGCGCTCTGTCGCTCTGTCCTCGGTGTGAGACTGAGTTCCGGGAAGCCAGACTCTTGCGGCTTCTGATCGGCTCTCGTGGCGTCGAAAGCTTCCGATTTGGAAGCTGTTTTTTTTTTTTTTAGGCGTAAGGTGTTCACACGAGCAGACTGAGTGTGAAATGTGCTCCTGTTTAAGCGCAATCATCTCGGGGGGGAAAGAACGTTCTTTCGTCCGTTTCCGCGTTGCGATTCACCGCCACTTCATCTTGGCGTCGGAGTTGCGAGTGTCGTGGGGTCTCCTCGGCGCGCGCGGCGGTAACCTCGCGTCCCCCCCGGGTCGGACCAGTCCTGCTGTTCGCGGTCTGCCTCGCGTGCCCATGATGTAAACAGGATCTGAAGTTGAGGGTGGTTTCGTGCGCAGGGCGACTCGTGGGATCATAACCAGGGCCATCTAAGACTTTCTGATGGGTACACGAAACGGGTAGGATCTAACCCTGTTATCGAGACAATCCCAAAGAGCCGCCGTGGCGAGATTTGAATTGGCCCCGTCTGCGCAGAGCTGGCGTGTGCAGCCGTGCTCCTCGTAATTAACAGAAACAGTAAAATAAATTCCACCGCCACCGAAGATAACCCCAAATCTACCCTTCTTAAGTGGGCGTAAGCTTTAAACTCTGTGCATTACGGCTGCTGGCAGCTCATTTTCATTATTGAAGAGGTTTACATTAAGAATTCATCACTGTAGTTGGCTTTTCCCCATGATGGTTTAAAGTATGGCGAAGGGTAGAAAAAGATGGATAATTGGCGGCTTTTACCACATTCCTTTGCAATTGTCAGGTGTCTAGATTTCATATGAGGAGCGATTGTTGTCGTTTAAAGGATTCAGAATATTAATGTTGATTTATAGTTGGAGATTTAAATCCAGGAGCTATAGTTTGGAAAATGCTTAGCATTGTTATATGAAATAACATGATGGGTGTATGTAATAGATATGCTGCTGTACAAGAGACTTAGGCATGGGCAGGAGTTACGATATATTACGAGCATTCAAAATATACTCAAAGCCTTCACTAGTGTGTTTTCTCATAACTTTGTTAACAGCGTTTTCTTTTGTGTGAAAATAACTTGTCGTTAAGCAGTCTTTAATTGCCATTGATCATCTTCAAATGTATGTGTAATCACAACATCTCAAGGTAAACTCTATGTGAGAAGTGTAATAGTACACAATCCATCACATCTACCAATCAAGTCTAATTGATGACTCATTGGTGGGCGTTTCTGGTCATTAGCAGAATTTGTTCCTCTTTGCATCCATATTCCACTCGACAGCTGAAAGGCTGCTTTGGTGTGGCAGTGAAATAAAGCTTAATCTGGGTGAACCGATTTGAACATTTCTAGGCTTTCAGGCAGCAATAGAACAGTTTTTTTTGCATAGCGAAGAGAAAGACGTTGAGTGAAAACCCCGAGCACTCTAGTTTCTGAGGTGTGGTATCTGAAGCATAGCCAACATGCACGGAGCAGAGAAACATCATCTATAATTGATGAACCCCAGACTGGATGACCCCAAAAGCAGCTAACAAGGATGAGCAATACTTGAAGGTAATATCCTTCAGGAACAGGGAGATGACGAGCGCTGGTTTGTCAGAAGAGCTGGCAGAGGGCTCAGGTGTCATCCAGCTATCTGCAGTGTGAAGGTAGCTTTTGAAATGAAGATTTAAAGGAGGTGGTGTAGCACGAAAAGCACTGTTAAGGGCAAGGAGACTAAAACGCATTCAAGAACTGGATTGTGGTCAAAGGAGTTTGGCGCAAAGTTTATCTGGATCTAGTCAGAGACCGTGCGTGAGTCAGTTGACAATTTAAACTCCTCATGAGCCCTTCTTGAGCAGTTAAGCACGGAAGAGGTTTACTTTGTTTGGTTAGGGTGATATTCTCAGTTGTTGGGGAAAATTTAGAGTATGTCAACTGCAGAAAGGTACAAACACATTTAAATCCAGCGTGGTAGTCTCTGTGGGGCAAGACCTATTGGTCCAGACTTCACCTTCTGGCTGCATAAAGATCCGAAACTCTCAGCTGGAATAATTCAGATGTATTTGTTGGAAACAAATCGGAGGTTTGAGAAGACGCCCCACTCCCCAGAATGAGATGGTCTTTGTAGAAGGATGGTTCAGCATCTCAGAAGAGTGTATAACGAATTTTTGAGTCTTAAGAGTCCTTTAAATAACTTTTTTGTCCCCAAGGAAGGTGATCGTATGCTTCTTATTTTATATAAAGTTGTACTGTGTATAAATGTGGTTATTTGAATGAGACTTATTTTCAGAGGTGCATAGAACGTATTGTTC